GATTGCGATGTCAAACTTTGCTCCAATAGGACGAAAAAATGAAATTCTACCCGACATGGCCTAATTGCTTTATGCACTTGGGAAGAGTCATAGCATAGACCTCCCCTCTCTCATCCTGAATGAAATGAAGAAGGGTTGTGATTTGAAGCGAAGCTCACTCCCATTTGACACCTTGGTGACTGAGATATGCAAAGACCACGGGGTCAGGGTGAGGCCCGAAATGGAAATTCAAAAGCCAATGGAACCATTGAACAATGCGTCCTTTAGGTGGAGCCAAGGGCATAGTGGCACCCAAACGGCTAGACAAGAGGTTCCACCCATCCAAGGAGTGGATGAGGTGCAAGAAGAGCTTGATGCTGAGGAGGAGAGAGAGATGGAGGAGGAGAGAGAGTAAGAGGCAGGTCCCAACATGACCACCCGGCATTCTTTATGGGACATCATGCTTAGCATTGAAGCTAAGCAGGATGAGATCTTTAGTCTTTTGAGGGGTGGAGCTGATGAAGCTAGTAGAGTTGGTGGAGATGGTGGCTCTGGAGGAGAGTGAGAGTGAGAGAAGGATATTTATGTTCTTGAGTGGAGTTGGGTGTTTTGTTTGTTTCTTCTTGGATGAATGAACTTTTTCTTTTATGGTTTGTGTGGATGTTTAAAGTTTTTATGTGTTTTGTTATTTCTTTTGTGGATGAATTGAATCGTTGATGTTGGTGTTAAACGATCATATCATGTGAAATGAATGATTCAGTTTATCAATTTTTATCTTTGTCAGCTTAATATTGCTATTTTTTTATAAATGATGAAACAAATGGGGATGCTAAGACTGTTTGTTAAAGTAACTAACCACATGATCGGTTTGACACATAGCTTAGCAATCTAGACTTCAAATGACATTTCTTGGAAATTTGGTATTTTCTCTATTCTTAAATTGTCGGATGTACATTGTTATTTGTGATTCTTAAGGTACAAGATGATAAAACTCAAAAATGGAATCAATATATAACCGACATTCCCCGAAACACCCGACATATCCAGTGGAGATAATGAAAAGTCTCATGGTAAGCTTTGAGTCTTGCGATGCTTTTTGAGAGAAGATCAACATTTACTTGAGAAAGGTTTTTCACTATCTATCCTTGAATAATCTCATTAATTTTGATTTGATCCATGCAACTAAATCAATCTATTAACATATCTGTTCATATGCACATACTTGAGAAAGGATCTTAGGCCATCTCTTGATCTAAATTTGAGCCTCAGCCATTTCTTTTACAAAATTATTCCTTGTTAGCCATGGTTAAGCCTTTAATGTATGATCTCTTTTTCAAGAAACTCATATGCTAACCAAGCCACAAGAAAATATAGTTGACATACCTTGCTATCTAATTTTCTTGCACCCTTCTTACAAATCAATATGGTATAGAAAAGCAAGAGAAAGATAGAAAAGACAATGGTGGCTACTGATCATGGAAAGAAAAAAAATTAGTGAGAATAACCGAAAAGGAAAAGATACTGAAAGACAGGGAATTTCCAAGAAAGTGAAAAATGAGAAAAGAGAAAGAAAGAATTCCACGGCTAGGCAAAAGATCGGAAAGCTAGAAAAAGGTGTACTACATAAATGAGAAGATAGCTTTTCGAATACCATTTACGTCATTTCGTTAGCCACTGACCTCTGGCCACATTACAACCTATACAAAGCCCTAATTGATCTCAAGTCTAATGCATGTGTATGTTGTTAACCAAAAGCTAGAGCATGTCAAATAGTATTTCTTTATTTGCATCAATTTTCCTCCATGAGGTTATGCCAAAACATAATTAGTTTGTTTCCTTAAACTTCACTCCTTTACTAATTGCACATGTGATTTTTTGGACTAGCCATCTTTTGGTTAATGCCCTGTGAGAAACAAGTCACTATAATCGGAGTGAATTTTTCTGAGAGCACTCTAAGAGAGGTTTGTGAAATCAAAGCTATCCATAGAAGGTGGTAAAGTGGAATGTTTGATATAGAGCAATTCCTATTTCTAGAATGATCATTCCCACTACTCAAGGAATCCCAAATGCCAATGTGACAGATGCTAATTTTTGTATAGAATAAATACCTATGAAAGAGGAGCATGTAGGATATAAATCGAGATTGAGGGTTGAATTTCCTAATGACCATGATGCTAATTCACTTTAATTAGCAATCTCACATACGCATCAATTCGATTGAAGTTTGTGGATAGCTTCACTAAAAACCCTCACGAGACAACACTCGTCTGCTAGGGTAAACCTAGTGGTTCAACAGCTTATTTCATATGCTAAATGCAACTGGATGACCTACGAAAAAGGCATTAGAAATGGATTTGCATTCAATTGTTGTATAACTAGAGACTAGTAATATTTTGGTTAAGGTGTGTGTGATTAGTACTTAAATTTACATATTACTATGCCTTTTTAGGACTAATTATACTTTGATGGAATTTAAGTGATGACATTTCAGGTCCTAAAGTGAACAAAGGCTCAAGAATAACAAATATCACAATTTAGTGTAACATCAGTGCATAAGGGAACAAAATTGGAGAAGGATGGAACTTGAGTACCACGTTCGAATGCCAACTCACGTTCGAACGTTTACTTGAACTACGAGCAGACCAGACTGCTAAGACATGGCGTGTTGTAGGCAAGATAGAAGACTCTAAGGTACTTGAGTACCACGTTCGAACATCCACTTGATTTGATTGAAGACCAGAGTGATGAGTGCAAAATGCCAAGCTCTGCATGAATAATGGAAGTGGGTTTCCACAGACCACTTGAGTGATATGGCCAAACCCCATCTGGCATTCGAAGGCCCCTAAAGCAAAGATGGAAGACACATTCGAACGTCATACCACATTTGAACGTCCATAAAGCCAAAATAGAAACAACATTGGAACGTCATTCACAGATTGCCTGCAAAGTAGTTGGTTATCACTTTTACTGGGCGGCATACACTATTCATCGTCTCTTATCTTCCCCCTTCCCTTCCTTGCATATAAATACTCCCATTAGGGGAGCTTCAGGGAGCATTCTTCTTCTCTTGTAAAGTATGGAGTGAGAGCTTGGTTAGTAGACTTAGACTACACTAAGAACTAGTAAGAAGTTTGTATGGAGGCTTAGACTCCCACTCATTTTGATTAATCTTAGATGTATGTTATATTTACATGTATCAAGAGAGTTAGTTCATTTCTTGGTTGAGGAAACAACTCTCCATATTTTGGTTGAGGAAGCAATCCTCCACTTGTTGGTTGAGGAAGCAACCCTCCACTTGTTGGTTAAGGAAACAACCCTCCATTTGTTAGTTGAGGAAGCCACCCTCCAAGTAGTGACTAGCTTTCTCCTACTTTCATTGTTTATGTCTTTCACTTCCATTACTTGAGCTTCCTTCTTTCTTAGAGGAGTGAAACTCTTCCACTTTTCTAAAGTTTTACCAAAGTCGTGAAGGGTAAAACATAATTCACTTATTCTTTAGTGAAGATCGGCTCTTCGTTTATTGCACTTTACCTTGTAATTTCTCTACTTTGAGGGATGAGTATCACTCACTTTTCTAGCTTTACTCAAGTTATGAAGAGTGAATAGTTCCTCATTCACTCTTTAGTAATAGGTGATGAACTTGTATCGATTGTCCAGAAGCTATACTTATGCATTTCTTTATGCTTTAATATTTTATATTTTATTTATTGACGGATTGAATGCATCCAACAAAGTTAAGGTACTTTGCATAACTATGGGTTCTTTCTATGTCACGGATGACTCTTGCATGGAAAAACCTATTGGTTCAAGGCAAGTACCTAGGCTAGATCTTCATGATACATTTCAATGTTCACTATTATCGTGTTTTATCTAAAGAATGGAACATTAATGTCATGGTTGAATGCCTTGTAGAAACACTTGCTTGTTTGTAGACGGGTTAAATCTCAGCACAGACAATTCTTGTCCACTTTTAGAAAGGCATTGAAATCATGTGGTTAATTCTCACAGTCCATCTTTATCTTCCGATTAACTTGCTGTTGACACGAAAGTTAATTAAGTTATAAAACACAAGTATAATCAACCGAATGATTAACTACATGTTATGATCCTCAAGCTAAAGGGTGACTGCTTTACATTTGAATTTATTTTATATTTTATCTAGAAAATTTTTGAAAAAAATCTGCTATTCTATTTAAGAAATCCCACCACTTCAAACTCTCAAAGTTTCCAGTTACTTGGTCTCTATTATTGCTTACTTCAAAACACCAATTATAGTTCCCTGTGAATTCGACTTCAAACTTAACCGAATTATTACTACAACTTAACCACTTGTATTTTGGTGTACACATTTCGGATTAAGTCACTTTATATAGACCTTGACTTGTTTCTAAGGTTTCCGTTACTGGTGGGGTGGGGGTGGGGAGATGACACATCTCCCCTTTCTCAGGAATGTTTGTTGGAGATTGCTAAAATCTTTTTAGACACTCCCTCAATTGCAACCATTGACTTTGCCTTTCCTTAATTGTAGGTGCTGTTGTTCAGTTTAGATCATGTTTTGAAGCTGAGCACTGTACAATTATGCTCGGTATGAACCGAGTTGTCATAGTTCGATACAATTCATCCCCAATTGTTCCTATTTTGACCCACGTGGCTTATCCTTCCAAAAATACGTGAGTTTATTGCCGGTGCACGTGGCATAGATTTATAGATCCATCTAACTGTTAAAATGGACAAGAGTATTTTATGATCGATTTTTAACTATTTTTTTTACCCGATGTTTGTTTGTTTGGAAACTCGTGTAACTATGCTGTGGTCAGAGACAGCTATAGCCTTCTCGTCTTCTTCATACAGTCTTCCCTATAAATTGCCATTGCAACCCTCCACATATCTTCCTTAATAGTGGAATGTCTTCGTTTTTGTGAGCATATATCTTGACTAAACGCTTTGTATACACATAAAGCTTTGGGATTTCTTTCAGTTGCAAACAGAAAACGCAGTTCATATATCTGATCAAGTTCTCCATGCCCAAAATCTTCAATTCTTCAAAACTTACGACTTTGTTTTGCTTTCAATCAAGACTCATATCAACCATCCCTGCCCCAACCAACCAACACATTACCCATCTCATATTAGAACAAAAATCAGCAAGTCAAGCCCTCCAGATCTTCAGATGGGCGTCCAAACTTCCCAGTTTCATCCACTCTCAATCCACCTACAGGGCTTTGATACATAAGCTCTGTACTTTTCGTCAATTTGAGACCGTCAAAGAACTGCTCGACGAAATGCCCAGCTCGATTGGTTCACCCCCGGATGAAGAAATTTTCGTCACAATGGTCCGTGGTTTGGGCCGGGCTCGAATGATTCGAGAAGTGACCAAAGTTCTTGACGTGGTTTCCAAGTTTGAAAAGAACCCATCTTTGAAACTCTTCAATTCAATACTTGATGTTCTTGTTAAGGAAGATATTGACTTGGCAAGAAAATTTTATCGGGAGAAGATGATGAAAGGTGGTGTTCTAGGTGATGATTATACTTATGGTATTTTAATGAAAGGACTTTGCTTGACTAATAGAATTGGTGATGGTTTTAAGCTTTTGCAAGTAATGAAGACGCGGGGTGTAACGCCGAATGCTGTTTTATACAACACATTGATCCATGCTCTTTGCAAGAGTGGGAAACTTGGGATTGGGCGAGCTAGAAGCTTGATGAATGAAATGGTGGAACCCAATGACGTCACCTTTAACATTTTGATATCAGCTTATTGTCGAGAAGAGAATTTAGTGCAAGCTCTTGTGATATTAGAGAAATGCTTTAGTACTGCTTTTGTTCCTGATGTTGTTGCAGTGACTAAGATGGTGGAAATTCTTTGCAATGCTGGTCGTGTTGCCGAGGCTGTTGATATTTTAGAAAGAATAGAGAACAGAGGAGGTAAATTGGATGTTGTGGCATATAATACCCTGATAAAGGGGTTTTGTAGCTTAGGGAAAGTGAAGGTTGGATGTAGATTTTTAAAGGAGATGGAGAGAAAGGGCTGCCTTCCAAATGTGGACACTTATAATGTGCTGATTTCTAGTTTCTGTGCCTGTGGGATTTTGGATTCAGCTCTTGATTTGTTTAATGAAATGAAAATGATTGGGATTAATTGCAACTTCGTCACATATGATACGTTAATCCGTGGCTTGTGCGCAGGAGAAAAGATGGAAGAGGGCTTTAAGATCTTGGAATTAATGGAGGAAGTTAAGGGGGGTTCTGCCGGTCATATAAGTCCCTATAATAGTATCATATATGGTCTGTATAAAGAAAACCGTTTGGATGAAGCTCTCAAATTTCTGACTAAGCTGGAGAAATTATTTCCTAAAGCTGTTGACAGGAACTTAAAGATACTAGGTTTCTGTGAGGAGGGTAGTGTTGAGGATGCCAAGAGAGTTTATGATCAGATGACTAAGGAAGGAGGTTTTCCTAGTGCTCTCGTTTATGTCAGTTTGATTCATGAGTATTGCCAAGAAGGGAGTGTGAAAGAAGCATTTGAGATGATGAATGAAATGGTTGCTGGCGGTTATTTTCCTATTGTGTCAACATTCAATGCTTTAATTACTGGGCTATGTAGGCAAGGCAAATTTGGGAGTGCGTCAAAACTCCTGGAGGACATGGTTGGAAGAGGTTGCGTGCCTAATTTTGAAAGTTATGGTCCTTTGATCAATGCACGTAGTTGGAATGGGGATTTGCAAAATGCTTCGATACTATTTCTCCAAATGGTGGAAAAAGGTATTATTCCTAATTTCGATACATGGAGCTCATTGATTTTATGTCTTAGTCAAGAAACTAAAAGGTTGGAAGGCAAGGATATATTTCGTGTAAATAACCAATTACAGTGGATTCTTGAGACTTGAATTATTGGCTGGGAATTACTTATAATGCTGATATTGGTGCTGGACTTGATATCTCTCAAAACAGTGGTTGCATCAATAGATTAGATGCAATGGGAGTGTACTAGAAAGAGGGCATCGTGCTCTTCTGTTATGAGAGGATTGTTTCTCCTTCAACCTTTATGTATCTTTGCACTCCTGTAATCAATTTAATCTTGTACATTTTTCAGTTATGCTTTCCTCTGCGGATCTTTTGTGTCAAGATTTTACTTCACTCACTGATTTTTTGCCTTCCCCTTTGCTATGGCACCAGATCTTTTTGTTTTGGGTCTCTTTCATGGAGAGGTATGGAACATGTGCTTGCATGTATTTTTGATTTCCAGGTTTTTAATGGGATCTTTGCTTCTGGCGAAAGAATTTGGTAAAATGAAACAAATGCTTGTCGTTTGTTTAAAGAATATAATGATAAACAGTTCTTCAGTTGGTGAGGTGATTGAGGTCTGAAATTTCATTGCATTCATTGTTCCATCTGATTGTCATGCTCGGTTTCTTTTCTTTTGGTGGAAGCATTAGAGATGGAGTGTTGGAGTATTCTACAAAAGAAATTGTTTCAAATTCTTTAATTATTTTCATAAATGACCTTTTAGTTTTTCAATAAGATAATGAACTCTAATCATTCGCCAAATTCATGTGTCCCTTTTTACCTGCTTTTAACAAATTTTTGCACCAAATTGATGCAAAACGGGCATATTGTTGCCGTTTATAAAGATTCAGGGTGCATTTTTAATCTCCAAAGGAACCAATGGCTTTTTGATTCAATGATATTCCTTATCTTGTTAAGCTTTTGTCATCCTAAGATCAAGAGTTCGAGTCTCCCTCCCCCTCCCCCCTCCCCCCTCCACCCTCCATTAGAAGAAAAAAATAATAACTTCAAAGGAACAGTGCAAAAGTTTGAAAGATAAAATTCCACCAGCCCTTTTGCTTTTAACAAAACATGGTTTAAATTTGCTAAAATGTATTGAGTAATGTTTTCCAAAAGTAAAATCCATTACAGTAAAACAGTTTTTGTGATTCAAAGGATTGGTTGCTGTTCTTGTGTCCTAAATCTGTTACAATCAAGCAGTTTGATTACAAGGATTGCTTTTTTCTGTTTGGACTTTTTTAAAATGGTCAGCAGTAGTATACTTACACGACCATCTAACAAACCATCTCAGAAACTTAGTAAGTGCTTGTGTATTGTCCTTATTCTAACTAATTCTGTTCAACTTAGACTAAAATTTTTTTTCTACTATTTGAGATTGACTACATAAATGTAATTTTTCCATTGTTTTGTCTCAAAAACAATATTTTCCCCTCATTCTAATTAATTCTCCCAAAACAATTTGTATGCGCAGAATTAGTATACGCCAATGCCACAACCCTGAAGCACCCTATTGCAACGTGCAGTCCAAAGGCGTCATAGATTATGACGAGTCACTCCGACAGAGGGCGGAGGTAGTGAATGCTTAATGGGAGAGAGGGTTGTGGGGCTGAAAGGTCTCTGTCTCTCTCCTCTGTGTGTGTTATCGCTTATGTATGCATGTATATACATATGGAAGATGATATGGTAAAATTTATGTAATAGGTAATGCGTAATTAAAAGATTTTCTAATGGAAAATTTCATAAAAACAACAATTTCCGTCATGTGTGTGTGGAACTATAAGTGTTAATTGTGTCGTGTCATTCTCGTATTGTGTCATTTTCAGTCGTATTATTTTTTTGTCGGATTTGTATCAATATTCGTGTCAATAAAAAACTATTTAATTCCCCGACAACTCATATGATTCTATTCAAAACATTTAAAAAATATATAAAATTTTTATTTTCTGTCTATAATACTCGTTAGATACTTATTTTCTATCTACAGTACCCATTAATCATGTTATTTGTTTTGAACCTTAATTTGACTCATTTATTACTTATATCAATTAAATGTGTAATATTTAAGTTTTTGTGTCCGGTCGGGTTCATGTCTGGTTCATGTTAATAGATAAAATTAACACTCCTATGTGGGGCATCATAAAACAAAGCAAGATTATAGAAGTTCGTTAGTGAAGTTAATTAGTAATTTTGTTAGGTTGTTAAGTCAGTTAAACTCAGCTACACTATGTTGTATGGTGAGGAATAGCTTTGCTTATATATACGCTTGTAATCTTTGCTGATGAATGAGTATGGAAAAATATGTTTCTTCCTAATTCTGTTTCCTGTCTTCTTCTTCTCTGAGTCCTCCTGACTCTTCCTTGATTCTGTCATGGTATCAAAGCCTTTAACAAGAGATTAACATCTCAATGGCTGATTCTTCTTTTACTACTCCACAAACTTCTTCGAGTCCCTAGCTGATTCACACATTTTAGTGGTCTAAATTATATTATATTGTACACCCAAGTATAAGTGGTCAAATTATAGTTTTCTCGGTTTTAAGTCCAAGTATCGATCCCACGAAGAGTTTAGTAATTTAGACTATAAAATATAATAAATAAATNGGTAGTATTCATTACAATTAAAATAAAACTTCTTTCACAAGGAACAATTGAAACACAACCACCCTTAATATCATTCAAGACAAAAAAAGTGGCGACAGTTCAACCATCTGAATAGAAAGATATTTCAGAAATGTAGAAATATAGAGTAACAAACGGACCAGCTTTCAAAGGCTGTTTCTTTCTCTCTTCTTTCTCTCTTTGATGGCCAGCTAGCTTTCTTGGTAAGGAAGAAAATTTTCTCTTGAAATGGTATTGTGAAGGCTTGGAGTGGAATGTTTCAAGTCNATAGCTTGTGGTGTGAGCTTAGTTTGATAACTAGTTTATTTAAATAAAATCAATGCGGAAATAAAGTGCATAGATAATAAAATGCATAAAGAAAACAGATTAATGACAGAAATAATAAAGTGCGTAAGTAAATGCGTTAGCAACAAGAATATAAAAGATNTTGAAGAATGAAGGCAAGACCCCTATTTATAGGGGAGGGTGAAATTTCGGCCAAGGAGGGGTCCTAACCCCCTTCTCACCCTTTAAGAATGTTGATCCTTGCAGCAGAGCTAGATGCCGCAGTCTTAGGCTTCCACTTGTCACGTTTCTAGAGCTTCCATGTANAATATAAAAGATACCCTTCAGTTTAAGGGTCTCATATGCATTATATTGGTTAGATACGGGAAATGCTACCTCACAACAATTAACTCTCATGTTATTGGAAAGTCAACGNATGCCGCAGTCTTAGGCTTCCACTTGTCACGTTTCTAGAGCTTCCATGTATCGGGGGGTCCTAACCCTTACCTTAACCTTCCTAAAGGTTAAGCCTTGCAGTAGTGCAAGGTGTCTTCTTCTGGAGCTACCACTTGTTACCTTTTGATTTGTCCATGATTCTTTTTTACACCTTAGTCCTTCATAGTTTCAACTCTTGCAAAATTGCATTGTGTTTTCCATTATTTCTGCATTTGACCCTGAAATNCGATAGGAACATCGTGGTTGTTAGACTGTCATAATAATTATATATAATAATAATCAACCCTAATAATCCAGAAGGACAAGCCATTCATGAGGATCATTTAGCTTTGTACCACACATCAGTCAACTTCCTCAGCATTTCGGTGGAAGCAAAGCTATACCGATAGAAATGTCGTGGTTGTTAGACTGGCGGGTCTTATGATATACTGATGATATAATCCAAGGCACAACACTGGAATTATACACATCACTATATCACGTATTAAGCATATAATATATATATATATATATATATATATAAATAAACGTATAAATAAAACATCAGCATTTTCATAATCTAAACAGTAATATACATATGTTCCCCTCACACTGGAGGGTATAAACGACTACTCACGCTCCATTGCTATAGACAAGCAAGAAATGTGGGTAGTATTCATTACAATTAAAATAAAACTTCTTTCACAAGGAACAATTGAAACACAACCACCCTTAATATCATTCAAGACAAAAAAAGTGGCGACAGTTCAACCATCTGAATAGAAAGATATTTCAGAAATGTAGAAATATAGAGTAACAAACGGACCAGCTTTCAAAGGCTGTTTCTTTCTCTCTTCTTTCTCTCTTTGATGGCCAGCTAGCTTTCTTGGTAAGGAAGAAAATTTTCTCTTGAAATGGTATTGTGAAGGCTTGGAGTGGAATGTTTCAAGTCTCTTTTGAAGAATGAAGGCAAGACCCCTATTTATAGGGGAGGGTGAAATTTCGGCCAAGGAGGGGTCCTAACCCCCTTCTCACCCTTTAAGAATGTTGATCCTTGCAGCAGAGCTAGATGCCGCAGTCTTAGGCTTCCACTTGTCACGTTTCTAGAGCTTCCATGTATCGGGGGGTCCTAACCCTTACCTTAACCTTCCTAAAGGTTAAGCCTTGCAGTAGTGCAAGGTGTCTTCTTCTGGAGCTACCACTTGTTACCTTTTGATTTGTCCATGATTCTTTTTTACACCTTAGTCCTTCATAGTTTCAACTCTTGCAAAATTGCATTGTGTTTTCCATTATTTCTGCATTTGACCCTGAAATTTACACATAAAGTATTAAAAACTTTACTTTGCACACAAACTATAATTCATAATGTTTAGCGATTTTATCTTACAAAACTGATCACTTAATTATTTTATTTACACACTAATTAGGAGTAATCACACCGCCCAACTTAAACTTTACTAGTCCCTAGTAAATATAAATTATAACACAAAATAAACCATAAATATAAGTAAAATCATTTTCGTAGATTTTTTCACGATTGTATTTAGCATATGCAATAAGCCGTTAAACCCCTAGGTGATCCCTAGTGGACGGACGAGTTTTGTCTCGTGAAGGTTTCCAGTGAAGCTACCTACAAACTTCTGTAGTTAGGAGTTTATAATTCATACTTTTCACAAAGATAATTAAATCAATATTCTTTCTGTCTTGTTAGAATAGTTCCTTTTTCTGATCACTGTAAGAGTAACACACGTTAGTTGTAACATTATCTATATGTTTTTATACAA